CCCCCCCCAATTTTCCAACCTACCAACCCTATGTTTTAGAGGCATATAATCAGAGAGAAAACTATTTAAGGCTTACATGTAATTCCACCTGACCTTTTATGTTTCACAAAGCTTACTGACAGGCCTACAGAATCCACTGGGTAAGAAATTTGGTTTTGTAACTTTGCTATTCTCCTAATATTGTTAGGAGGGGCAATTATAATTTTGAAAATACCCTCTTAACATTGGACTTGACAACTACCAGTAATTTTGCCTTAATCGGTTTGGTCTATACATGTCACAGAAAGATTTAACATCCGTGAACATAACAGTTGCCTTCATTCGGGCACCTACGTGTACATGTACTATGAGGTCTAATTGGTTTTCACAGTAAATGGCAAAAAAAATCTGGTAACTAGAGTGATGGAGTCCTCTTCCTGAATTTGAATAAATTTAGGGTGACATGCAAACAATTACAAAAAAGATACGCCTCACACAAAAATGATGACAGAAACAACCAAGAGGTGGTCAATCCTTTGTGTAAAATTTGAAATTACTGATGTGTAGGTAAACTGTCATGCTCTAGTAAGGTTGTGGGTAAAAGTCAGCGCTGGAGAAATATGTTGTATCCTGATCCCACGTCTTTGGCTGTGTAAAAAGAGGTCTATGGAACACTGATGTTAGGCGTAATCGGTCCATGTGTATGATGATCGCTTGATCCTTGTGCAATCACATCTTACAGCATGATTTGTCAATAATTCTACAATCAGCCAATGGCCTTTTCTTTCTTATTCTTGGCTGTGTGTTTCAATAATAGGGAAATAAATTTGTTGGAGATTCTGTGGAGAATCGATCAATCACGCAGGGCGATTGTGCAGATCGACCACTCTTGTCCAACACTGACAACATTTTCAAACATGCATGGCATGTATGATGTAGGCCTATGTTTTCCAACTTGAAAATAAGCCAATATGGTTAGAAAATGCAGAAGTAAAGAGATACTTCAGGCATCCTGACTTTTTTTTCTTCATGAAGGTCAATTACTGCAAAACTGTTGAAAAAAATGAATATAAATACATGTAGGCCTAAGCCTTGGTACGTGGTTTGATCACAAGGACCGCAAGTCATTGAAATTCATGCAATTCTAGGCTTTGAAGGCCCTATATTCAATTATGGAGGTCTATTTCTACCTCCATGATTCAATTCAGCTTTTTGAATGAAATTTCAAAATATGATTTAGCAATAGCACGGATAAATGCAGTGTCTTAAAAAATAAAAGTGCTTCTTTTCCAAAATACCCATTCTCGTTAAATTACATGTCACTGTCTGATTGTCCATGGTGAGCCAAGCAAATGTTGATTTACCTTGTGTCATATCGCTGGTCGGTTTCCGCTTTTTGAATCCGAAGGGCATCCTGCAACGACAACACTCCCCCCAAAGACCCAGTTTTCCTTCGTCCGGAAAACGCTGGATAAAAAAGACAAAAGATCAGGCAACAATCTCGATCACCTCTGGTGTTCGGGCCGCACGTGGAAAGCCATCAAAATCTACACAGAATCGTGTCGGATGAAGGAATTTTTAGGGACAAACTAGTTCGCCTACATCGTCTTCACATAACACATTCAGTTGTACTCAAGATATCCACACAACGTGCACAGCGACCATGCATGCAACCCGTCTTGTCTGGCTACTGTGACCGTCTATTATTATTTTGTGATGATGTATAAACTGTCTAGACTGCTAAGGTCACATGATCAATTATACATTCCAGACTACTGTTTTGATCGGAACGCGTAGTTGGTGTGAACCTGACGTCGCCATTTGTTTCGGTCATTTCTCTAGTTTTCGGAGATGTTGAAAACAATCAATTTTTCTCAAGGTCACGATGATAATAATCATCAAGTGAAATGGTTAAATTAAGCCACTTAACTGGTTTTAGTGAGTACTGATGTTTTCTACATGACAGAAAAAGACATGGCTTCCATTTTGGAATTATGCAAATAATGTAAATAGAGACTGACCGCAAAGTGGGGGTGACCTTAATGGAACAGTCACATTTCCATGAGCTCATCATTTTGCACAAAATGCCATTGCGACATACTAAATTATAATCTCATGTCCGCTGGAAGGGTTCATTTATTTGATATAACCGAAGAACAAAAACAATATTAATTTGTGTGCAAAAAGTAATTTATTTAAGAATCAGGATTCATGTGTACTTGAATTACAATGCAGACTGGTGGCCTATTCGAAATTTTTGAAATCCGATGCCGGGTTAGGAAAAAAAAACAACCGAAATGCGCGTTATCTTCAATGACTATTCTGTATAAACAACCACCAGTAAACCATGAAAATCAACTCGCATGGAGAGTGCGCCCTCATTAGGCCATGATAGAGAAGTTTACAGCGGGATAAACGGATCATTTTATCATAGAATCCTCCACATCTGAGCAGTTTACGTACAAGCGGGAAAACCCAGTAGAACACATTTCAGGGCTTTTCTACCTTGCCATGTTGATTCTTAGGTTCTGTGAGCAAGAACTTACTTTTTTATCCACAGCCAGTCTTGCATTAATTTCAGACTTGCTAACCACCCTTCCCGTACGTGGCTCTCCCGGATAGAGAAGAGGAAAAATAAATAACATACACATCCCTCTCAGCCGCCATTACGCCTCCCATTTTGGTTTTTATCGTCCTTTTGCTGCGGTCTTATTCAGTACCATGGACTCGTCGCCTCTCCCTGATCTATAACCCGGTCAAAAATGATATACCATTCATTAGTTTCAATGAATCATGATGTGGGGGTCTGTTTCCAATTACCGTTCACTGTCGTTACATAAAGTGATCACGGGCGTCGTGAATGGGGTGGCATGGTGCCACATGAAATTTGCCGACGGACCGTCACGCAAAACGAGTATACAGTATCCCCCTTCCTTTCATCTTCATGGCCCGTTCTTTTATTTTGTCGACAGACCATGATTTTGCCGACAAAACTAACTAATGGGGGGTTGTGACATCCCCGACACCCCCGTCTAGCGACAGCCGTAAAAGTGATGGCCAAGACAGTAGCAGCGCATGAGTGTTGAATGATGGGACGGTTGAGATGTGGAGACATGGCCAAGGTCACTATAAACCATCGGGAAGTTGCGGATTTTTAGGAGGAAGCCCATGAGAAATGTGGGATAACTTTTGAGAAAAAAATCTGGAGGCTTTGGCTAACTGAGAGTCAGAGTATCCATCAGGAGAGTGGCATTTGGCCAAAGGGGCGAAGTTTCCATATTTGCATTTTGAATGCAAGTACATACAGGGGCCTAAAGACGGGGAATGTGGGGTGTGCCCCCCCCATTAATTCCAGTCAGCAAATAGATTTTTTTAGATTTCCATTCTCCATATTTTACACGACATGAGGTTAGCAAACATGTTATAAATCAGCAAATTGACTCTCACCCTCCCCCAGAAAATGCCTTCGCCACGCCCCTGTGTGCGTAAGGCGATAATAATTTGTTACACCTGTATGTATCAAGTTGCTCCAGCAAAACAGAAGATTCTGCATCCCACTGGAGTTGGGGATGCGTGACAGAGCTGGAGGATAATGTTTTGATTCCTCTCCCTTCAAATAAAATAAGACATGTCATTCTTTAACTAGTTCAAGTCGGGTAAGTTAACAGTGGATTCCTGTAGACTATTCCACTTTCGTATGGTGAATGGGTAGAAGCTGGTACTGTAGAATTTTGTTGTTTTTTTGCATTTGGTCGGTGGTAGGAGAACCGGTGAGATATACGATGAATTCTGGATTGGGTTTTGAGGTCATGTTGGACTTCACCTAGGCCATGGGTAATCTTATATAGCATGGCAAGTCTTGCAATGGTTGAATTGTACACATTGCCGGTGATCCCGTCGTGCTTAGTCTGATGGGGAGTCTTTGGTGTGGAACGCGATCAAACGCCTTCGAAAAATCTAAGAATGTTGCATCCACCTGTTTTCCTTTTTCAGTTGACTTGGCGATATTGTCGACGCCCGATGAGAAGTTGTGTATCACACCCCTATTTTTCCTGAACCCATTTTTTTTTTGGCAGTATGTAAAGATCAGGTGACGTTCAATGTGGTACATTAAACGGCGGTGAATGACATGTTCAAGGCATTTGCACACAAGAGTGATGAGTGAAGGCATTTTCAAACGCAACACTGCGTTTTGGACTTACCTGCCGGATTTATAATACAAACGATTCACAAAAGCCCACCTCCAAGAGTTTGCAACGCGTTGGCCAATCACAATGCGCGAAATCTGTCGACCCTTTCCAAACGCGCGTTGGGTCGACAGATTTCGTGCATTGTGATTGGCCAACGCGTTGCAAACTCTTGGAGGCGCGCTATCGTGAAGCGCTCGTATTGCTGCCGGCTACTTCTTATGCCTTTAGTCTCTCTTCCCTAAATCTTGTCTGAAGATTGCGCTGTACTGGCCAAACGACAGTCGAGTATAAAGGCTAATGCAGAGCACACATCCCGGAAGAAGTCTGGCCACGCCTTCAAATGTGGTGCTTTGTGGTTTGGGTTGTAATTTCACGTCTGAAAACAAGTCTAGGACGCTAGGAGTCCATCTCGAAGTCTTCTATTTAACATTATCCAGTTGTCCAATCCAAGCAGGTTTCTGGTGTTATGGTTACAACGTTTATTGGTTACGTATAATTACAGCTATAGCACAAACAACTTTTGGATAGTTTTGTATGTACCTTTCGAATATGTCCTGAGTTTGCATAAATATCTTGAAACTTTTGAAAGTTGGGGTCCCCCAAAATCATTGGTTACTTACTCTTTCCCTCGAAAATTAAGACATGTAGCAATAATTTCAAAGTTTTGGGTCATAACACCATACCCCACCCCCCCCCCTGGGTTGTAGGTAATATTATATTGAAATTGGACGACTGAAGACTGTAAGAGTTAATTGAGCTAACCTTTTCGGCAATTATTCATGACGGTGTCAGACGTCAACGTAATTAATCGTCAGCCATATATGGCAGACACGATAATGAACAGCGCCTTTCACCTCCGTTACCACTGTGTAGCACTTTGTTGCAATCACCGGCTCTCGCGCCTTTGTACACAGAGGCCAAAGAGCGCCCTCTAATATTGCGGTCTCCAGTAGCTCAGAAAGGCTTGTTCGTATTTTTCGACGTCTTTAAAGACCAGCTCCATGCGTCTGATGTCGACAAATGATCATTCCATTCTATAATAGATATCACACACAGCAAAATGTAATCGAGAATTTACTTACAAAGTAAATGTTAGTTTCATTTCAACCGACATTCAAGTAAGTACACGTCGTTTAACGAAACCAACGAAACTGCACGTCTCCACGTATCGTCTCTCTCCAATATCCGCAACGACAACTCTTCCATTGTAACTGACGTGACATCCTAATTCCATCTGACAGGTCACAGACGAGTGTGATCGCCGCGTCGATTTACGGGTTGTCTGAGGATTCAACTGAGAAGGATTAGAGGACGGAGTTTCTTGTTTGAAAGTTTTACTGAGGGGGGAAGATCAACTTCAGTTAGACGGGACTTCCTAAATGAAATGTTAAAAATACCAACATGATTTGTTTTCCACAGGAATGGACTTCCTTCCAGATAATCTTCACTTGTCTCTAGGACAAGAAAACATGTCGAGTTTAATAACTGATTGCCAACTATGTTTTGTGGATAACAGACACACAGAACGTCCACAAACACCAATTTGTTTTAATAATAGTATATTTTATTTTTTGTTTACAATTTTGTCATTTTATTGAAATAATCGTCTACATTAACAATGCAAGCACCAACACAGAATTAGCATTTAGCTTTGCTACCCAGAAGACATTTTGACTACACGACAAATACCACACTGAAACAGCCGTCAGAACATTACATCACACGGCTGTTTGAGTCTTACATAAAAAGCTCTCGGTTCCGTAATGTGCAAGTGCAACAGCTCAGACGTTATGATCATTTTATGACATTAAATTATCCGACTGTTCGCAAGAAACATATCAGAATGAAACATAACCACAAAACGAAAATATGACATTGCTAAATTCTGTGGGAAAACGTCAGCAGAACTATAGCAGCACAATACGTCATTTTTTTCAGCCAATGATGTGTCAAATGTACACAGAATAGTTCATAAAAACAGAATTATTGGGTGATGCTCTTCATTAAAGAGTGCTTATTGGTAGACCCTTTCTGGAATGGTAATTATAAACTCATCATTTTCAAGATAAGATATAAATTCACTAAGCCAGTGACAAATAATTATTCTCCTTATTCAAGTAAGCGACCAAAAGGCAACTGAAAAATTAAACCAAATAGTAATATAATTAATTAACTTCTCGTTCACTAGGGGCTGTTCATGGTTACAACTGTAGCTGGTCAATTCAATAGGGAGTGAGTGAGCATAGGTCTTTTTGAGAAGAAAATACCTACACTAAAGTGCGGTGAGTTATGGCACAGAAACAAATCCTGGACTTGTGGTATTACACGACTTCATGTCTCAAGATCACAAAGACTGGTATGTGTAATGTGTCCCTAAAATTTGGCCTCCCTTGAGGTGTAGTTGAAAATAATAATCAGCCCCTTTCAATTTTGCTTTGCGTGTTGCAACTCTCTCCAACAATAATGGCATTCACAAATCTTGCTGACTTTCCGAAGTTCACCATCTTCAAACGATATACTTCGCAAGTCCCATGGTGAATTACATTTGAGAGAAGTGATTAAATTTAACTGCGGGTAACCGGGGCACTTTCCTCTTAGTAAAGAGATAAGAGATGGCACAGAAAGAGGAAACAGCTTTTTTTTTTCTCAAGAAGAAATTCTACAGAAAAGTGCTTTAAGCAATAGTTACATATTTACACAAATGTACAGCGTATGGCTTTTATTTTTTGTTTTTACATGGCATGTATTTTAAATTTATATCACCTTTTTTCAGTCCGTTTCCTGTGACATATCCTCTTCAATCTACACAGTAATACACTGATTAATAAACATAAAACGGCGACTTTTTTTCAAACAGTGCCCAGACACACACCATTCCTACATGCAAGATGCAACTGATAAATTATAAATTAAGATCATTATCATTTCTTTCCAAATTCCCACAACCGTGAACCTTCACATCAACATTTCCACTGTCAAATGAATCAGGCCTTAGAGAAGATGAGAGAGAAAAACAAACAAAAATGCGTCATGGCCATGCATGATAGGAGCTCAACCATGCGATTAAAAAAAAAGTTGTGAAACAAATCTGAGTTGCAAAAATACATCTGTCGTGAAATTTAGGCTTTTGTTTCTTCCCAAGCCTGTCAAGGGAAAAAAATGAGCCAAGTCAGTGCTCTGAGGTCCTCAGTGCAGTCGTGACATTTTTCAAAAATAAGCTTAGGGCCTTCTTCTGAAACTAAAAGATTTTTGGGGTGGAACAGACTGCATTCCAAACGGTTTTATTTTCAACATTATTTTTTACCCGTACATGGACATGTACATTTAAGTTTCACCCAATCTTCTCAATCAATTCCTTTTGTAAGCAGTATTTTCCAATAAGGATCTTCTAGCACAATTTTTTTAAGGACCTTATAGCACCAATGCGACGTAATGTAAAATAAAAACTGGCCAGAAGTGAGCAGTATGTACAAATGCTTCACCAAATATCCATTCAAAAAGGAAAAACCCAATTTTAAAATAAAAAGGGGGAAAAAAGGTTTACCCTTCTACAACAGAACAGTAAAAGATGATGTGATTGTCTCAATACATTTTCATATTGGATGCACCAAGCTACGAGACTCACCTCTAGTTTTGAAGCCAAGATAACTCTACTTATGAATGGGCACAGTATGAAGGAAGAACAATCGTGGGAACCCTCACTCTGCGAGCCTAGACCAGAGGTTTCACACAGCTTTGGTTTACAATCAGTGATCCCTCGTTGGTTTAGGGACACCAAAACTTGCCTAATGGATAGTGTTAACCAGTGTTAGGATCACTGAGTGCGATCCAGCTCCGTGTCAAACAAACAGTCCCAAGGTCAAAACCTGCCGGTGGAACTCTCGCGGCTGGGGGAGCATCACTGGTACCTTCATTCTGAATAAAACATTTGTCAAGTCATCTGGCTTTTTTTTTTTCATGAAGAATGAAGGGAAAAACAAAAAACAAATACCTGCATTTGATTTTCGTTAATGGTTCAGGATCACTACCGGGACCATTCCAGAAAATCTGCCCGATGAGAATGTAATATAATTTTCTATAAATTGATAACCGAACACACTCATTGCTAACCCAATCCACCAGATCCCTAATGATCCATCAAGGTTTGATTGATTTTGGAGGATGTGAGGAAGATGAAGCATACACACAATTGCTTTACATGGGGTTTAATAACTCTTTTAAAACGTAGCATACATAAAGGTCAACTTGTGGTCTCCTTAAAAATGGAACCTAAGTTAGGTTCAGTGAGATTCCGAGCATACAGGTCCTGTGATTTACAAGTTCAGTCGACAAATTCTTGAAATTTCCATCTTTAAGAGATCGGTAAACTGTAAAGATCAAACTGCCAGGAACAACTGCCTGAGAAAAAGTGATGATGACCAGGGTTACGGGAGAGATATAAAGGTAAGTGGACAAAAATGATCAAATCAGCAACAAAATGACACAGTAACGACACGTTTAGCCTTACAGTCTTATCAGCACACAATGCATCATGTTCAAGCACTTTAACGACCTATAAGAAGCAAGATTATCATACACTATTAATCCTCATAAAAATATTCTTACTTTTTAAAAATTGTTTACAGCTGCTTTCTTTCCATTTTCTCCCCGTCAACGACGATTAAAAATAAAACTTTTCGAGTGTCACTGCTGGGGCTGTCCCACAAGATTCAATCTGAACAAAGCCTAGATGGTGGTGTGTGTAAAAATTCAACAGCCATCCAGACTTGAGTATAGGTGGTAACGCACCGGACTTAACATCCTACAGCAAGTAAGCTCAAAGCTGCATTTTCTCCTGGCGATGAAGCAGCGTTGAGCTACACTTACACTGTAGCCAACAGCTCCTTGCCAGATAAAATACGGAGGAAAAAAGAAAATTGGACCAGGCGGAAATACCATTTCAAAGGCAATGCGAAAGGAAATTTTCCAAATCAAACCATCCCGTGAAGATATGCAGTTTGCATTTTTCTGAAATCTGTCAGTGCAACCCCCTATTGTTTGCAAGCATTATAAATTTGAACAAAAATGTCACAAGTCTCTTATGCAACAGTTAGCAATAAGGGACCAAAAGCCTGAATCTCTAAATATTTTATACACTGATGAGATATATATATTTGATTTTAATAAGTGTGGCGTATGCAAATTTTCATCCCCTCAAACATTTGAGAGACAGAAGTGACAACATCAGCTCTGCGTGATTATAGATACACCATCAAAAAATAAATGAACGGCCCCAGAGAAATTTGGATAGAATTTCTGAGATGAATTTAATTCTTGTCAAGGGAGCACTCTTCAGGGTTTATGGGTAAGTAACCCTCTTCCCTTCCTCCCTAAGCCTGTCAGCCACTGTGACTTCATCAAACAGTTCACCACTTGACAAGTGGCTTTGGGCATGGGAGTCCTGATGAAATTTGACAAGACTGAGAGTCAGCTGGGGGAGAGAGGGCAGGGCAGGGCAGGGCAGGGCACGGCCCAACTCACGACATGCTTGAGCACTTGTCCACCGGCGAACCCATCTGAGTCAGGACCCTGTCCAGCCACTGCAGCGGCCCATTAAGGTGAAGTTCAATCCAGCAAGGGGTGCTGGTGACCGTCTGGCGCCGGTAGTCGGCACCCCAGCCCTTGACAAAGCTCATGCGGATGGTACACATGCGAGTTAGCTGGTAGACGGCTTCAAATCCCCGGTTGACAGATTGGGACAGCTGGGCTGCAAACTCCTGGTTGTTGAAAATCTTAAGATTGCAGCCTGGAGACACATTTGAAAACAAATCAAAACATCTGGAGATTACTTTCAAGCTATCCAAATACTGCCCCCTTGAGGGCAACAGTTCAATTTTACACCACAAGAGGGCAGCATTTATGATTTTTATAATGGAACAATCTAGGCCATTTTCCAATACTCAACTTTGGCTCCGTCTCAGGCTTCGTTCCCGAAACCAATCCCCGAAGCGTTTAAATTACATTGGATTCCTGTAATTTTGGGCTTTCTTGCATTATATTTGATGTTCTGTGGCACTGTTAGATTGATTTCTGCGCTTACAGCTTCAAAGTCAGCTAGTAAAAAAACAGTTGAAGCCTGAGACAGAGCCAAAGTTGAGTATTGGAAAACGGCCCTAAAGGCCCCTTCTTCGGTGAAACATTTTCTTTTCCTTTGACCAACCAAGATTCCTTTTATTTCCCTGCATATAAGGCATCATTAATTACAATCTCAACGTCTCTCCTTGACAAATGAGATCTAGGCATGAAATACAAATGGTCAGGGTAATCAAGGCTTATTTACATGTGTGCTTTCTTACAGAAGCCAGGCAGCGATGATTCTCAACATTCCAATGCTTGGCAACAATATTTGGCATTTTACAAATAAGGGTAGTTACTGAGTCTTGACCAAAGAGATCAACTTGTCAACTTTCAGGGACACTCTTGATATTAAACTTGGTGATGGTGTCTTTATAAGCACCTGCACATTTCAGAACCCAACACACTTCAACCAATGGTCTTACCGACGGCTAAGATCCACAGAATCCAACCAGAAATCGGCCCCTGTTAGAAACTGAAGGATTCTGTGGGGTTAGGGATTTATGGTTAGGATGGCAGGAGGACTTGGTACGGATACATACCTGGTGGTATTTTACAGACTGTGGCGGGATGCCAGCCGTATCTTTGGTTACAATTGGGGCTCTGGACAAACACGCTACTGTCACTTAGACACTCAGCAAAGACTTCCCCGCCGATGTAATATAACCTGACACCTTTACCTACGAAGAGAGAGGACCATCATAAATTGGGATCTGTTTAAAACATGTTAGACTATTGACTTTTAGATCTTTCAAAATCCACTGGAATCCTTCAAACTCCACTACAGCAGAGGTCAGACATGCATGGCTAAGTGCACGAAGGCCAACAAAAACCCGAAAGTACCTCACTTCAAAGTTTGTTTTCTTCAAGACAGCACACTGAGAACTTGACCACTTCCATACATTATGCATCGAGGGAAAAATATGGCAAGGGCACCATCTTAGCAGACAAAACGGACTCAAATCTTTGATTTCAACAAACACGCAGTGATGAAAGAAACATATCGCAGAAATACGTCACAGCTCAATGAATACTTTTGGAATCACGAATATATTCAGTAGTGGCCTTGTACCTCTTTTCAATGTCAGCAAATACAATTGGTAAATTAAACGGAGGCTTTTGCCGAGAAAAATTTATGTACTGAGCAAACTTAGAGAACCAGTCAGCAGCAATGTTACCACACGACATCTTGGCTGGAACAAACACGGAGCAAAAAGCTACACATTCATACCAATGTGTCTTCTTGTGATTTCGACTGTGGGATCTCTGTTGACGTTGGACAAGAGGCCCAAACAGAAACGCTCCGAGCTGGAAGGATCGACGAAACCATCGATGGTAAGGGAGGGCTGGGAGGCTTGGAAGGTCTCCCCGACCCTCTGGTTCATCTCGTAGTAGGCAATGGAGCACCAGAAAGGAGGTTCACAGTAGGAGACGGGCTGTAGGTCTGGTTGGGAACAATAACATTCTCCGTAATGGTTGGAATTAAACAGGATGGTCTAGCAGTTTCGGTATTGCTTTTTTTTTTTTGTAGGGAAGCAAGGGGCAAGATTGGCTTTGGTGCTGCTTTTGGTCATAAGAACTACTTTCAACAGTGTCTTAGTTTTCAATAATTCTTTGTAAACGTAAAAGTTTCAGCTGATTTTTCATGCATTTTATATATCAAGGGTCATCTTATGTACAAAGCCACTTTTACATTACATCAAATCAAGTCACACACAGTGTAAGATAACTTCCACTATCTCACAAACTATAAATAATAATGCAAAGTTACCTAGTGAATCTGTAGAACTGGGTGACATTGCTGTAGTAAAGAGATGCAACCAAAACAAGAGACGTCAGCATAACATTTCATACAAATATGCCAATTATACTATTGCATCATCTGCATGGACACTGAACTTGGGACCTCACACCTCCATGTCTATGGCTGTAGGTAATAATTGTGCATAGCCTTTGATTGAAATATTGCCTTGTTTTGGTCAAGGTAATGGTTGGCTGTGGTTGTAATGAAGGCAGAGCTGTTATTCATGGACAATCTGTCTGGTGTGTCAACTTAACCCTAACACCCCCCAAGGCTTTTGCACTAGAGAGCATACTGAACCCTACAAACCTCAACAGGTACATATCCCTGTCTATGTACTTGTACATGCAGGTCACTGTAACTCGAACAGAATTTGAGTGATGTGGTATGGATGGGTCTATGCAGTACTGGATGACTTACACTAAAGCCGTACCAAAGTGACAAAATCAAGCATAGTTCAACACTTGGTAGCCAGACACTGCACACAATGACCCCTGTGTGTTCCAACTTCTACAAAATCCAACACAATCACCCTGGGCCTTTGATACCAAGTCCAACAAAACTCAATAACAAGTTAATCCGGTATGGTACCAAACCTGCCAAAATATAGCAAACCTGCTGTTGGAGTCTGATGGACAATGGGGAGTTAGGATTAATGACACTGATACATCTAATGGCACTCACATAAACATATTAGCAAGTTTGAAATTATAGAAGTGGCAGAAAGGAACGAAGACACAGGCAGCTTTCCGACTTACTTCCATTCTGAGATGTGTCCATACTCTGTTCTGTATTATCGCCGTCCTCACTCATGTAGCCCGGTGGTGGAGTTTCTATCAGACAAAATTACAAGTAAGTCGTCAGATTCTGTTTGATTTTTCTGTTTTGCCCCAAACCCTTTTGAGGGAAGGGTTTGTCCAATAAACTTCAGGAGGCTGGCATGCCCTTGAAATTTACACAATGAAGTTTGGGATAATTCTGAACTTTTCAAATAGTCTGAGACTAAGAACGAAGATTATTATGAGCAAGGTTGGGTTCAGATCTTCAAAATAACTGCTTGCTACTCTGAATTCTTCAAACTACAAGGTGTCCGTACAAACGATGCATCATCTTCTTCAGTGTACAACACTGCCCAACACAAGAACTATACAGAGCCTGAACCACTAGCATGGAAGGCAGTTGAACCATGCACACCACTTCATTCCAGGCCCAAAAAACTCTTGTAAATGCTAATTGGAATTTGACTTCGCCGGTAGCATAAACAATGACACACATCACTAGTATGAATAGTTTC